AAGCTTATTCTCATGGCACCAGGGTAAGTTTCCAAATAAGAGAGTGGACAGAAGTATGCAAGACCTTTTGAAGCCAAGGCTTTATTCTGGTACACCATCACTTCCACCTCATTCTCTTGGCCAAGGCAAATTACAAAGCCAGTACAGAAACAGGGACTGGAGAAGCAGACCTGATGCGAGAAGACGCTGAATCACAATTTAAAGGGGGCATATCTACAGGGCAGGATGGGAAATTGTAGCCATTTATTTTTTATTTTTTTTTTATTTTAAAAGATTTTATTTATTTATTTGACAGACAAGTAGGCAGAGAGGCAGGCAGAGAGAGAGGAAGGGAAGCAGGCTCCCCGCCGAGTAGAAAGCCCGATGTGGGAACCCGAGCTGAAGGCAGAGGCTTTAACCCACTGAGCCACCCAGGTGCCCCTGTAGCCATTTTTTAATCTGCAGAGGAATTTTATGCAAAGTCCATGAATATATTGTTCTTTGAAAGTGAATAATATTTAAGAAATCCTTATACTGAACTTTAAAAGAGTTAATTTGTTCAACTGTTAAACTTTCACAAGTATGTCCTTCTGACAGTTCCAATGTGGTTTAATGAGAGCAATCCACATTTCTGGTGGTGATGTAGGGCTCCGTGTCTGTAGCCCTTCTGTGATGCTGACTGGAGGACATAAAGGAAGCAGCATTTCAGTTGCTTCTCTGCCAGGGGTAATATCTATATGGTCTTTTAAATCCTTGCTCCACACAGACCAACAAAGGAAACCACAACTGTTTTTTCCACCTCCGTTTTCCATTGCCATCTTTCAAAGATTTGCTTTCTTTTCACTTTTGCCTGTTTTTCACAGGAGCATCAGGGAGTTAGTTAGCTGGAGGGGTTTTCTGTTCTCTCCTGTCTTATATAATGAAGCGTGATTATTTGTCTCAGGATCTTCCCCTTCTATATTGACCAGAAAAAGAGAAAAAGAGAGAGAGAGAGTATTTCATTTGCTGCTTTGTTTATAAATTCTCTTTTGGTATGCACATCTCTTTCTCTTATCTTTCCCCATTCTTATTTTCAAACTTATTTGAAATGTTTTCTAGTTTCACATCTAATCCTTTATGAATCACAAGAAAAGTCTGAATTCTTCTAAAAGGTGATCCTCTTGTAGATGTGATTATTTCTAAGTAGCTTATATAACCTTAGACTCAAATTGATTCATTAGGCCCTTGTTTTCTCATTTCTCCTCCATGAGTCCTTTGCAGCAATCCCCCCACCCCCTTCCTTTGATTTCTCTGTAGATCCCTCATAATACAAATTTAATATTATCAAGCTAAAGGCTTCCATTATTGATTTCTGCCATCTGTATGAGTTATCTTTCTGGAAGTCTTGTAATTTAATGTGACTATTTCCTCCATTTAAATTAAAAAGGGGTAATTTATGTAAAACATTTTGCACATAGTAAGATCTCAGTAAATGTTATCTATTATTATAAATGCTTCTACTACTATACTTACTATTGCTAATTTATTTTAAAGCAAACCATATGCCTTTTTCTCCCTATTGAATTTACATTAAGCTATATAAGGAAACATCTAGATAATATAAGAATGCATATTATAATTTGAATATAATTTTTCTTTGGAAATTTTCTGGCAGTTGAAATTTACTATCACTTATTTTAAGAAACGCCTTAGTGATTGATAATAGTGCTAAACTAGAATCATTCCCTCAGCATTTAAGCCTTATACTTGTGTGTGTGTGTTAGTAAAAGCAAATTTCCATTGTCATAAAGCTGGGTCCATACAGCTGTTCCTGAGGTTATTACTACACATGTACCGACATACTGTTAGTAAATTTCTTATGAATGGATATACATTTTTTTCTTAGATTAGTTTCCTAGACATCAGTAACCTTCCAGATACTTTTAAGTTCTTTACTTAGTTTAATTATCTACTGCCATAAGGGATAGGTGTTCTCTGAGGGAACTATTTATATTTAACTGCCCACCCTGCAGTCCTGTATATTGCAAAAACTTTCTCATATAGAGATTCATAACTCTTGCAATTTTTAAATTGCTGTGTCAGTACCAGTATCTGTTTTTCAAAGAGACTTCCTCCTATATACAACCTGGTGTTTTACCTACTCCACGGATTTTAATCCTTTCAAGCTATACCTGTGGAATAGAGTCTCTCCCTCTCTCTCATCTCTCTCAGTACACACACACACACACACACACACACACACAGAAACACACGCTGTTTGGTGCTATGAACTGATATGGGTTGAACTGTGTCCCAGCACCATCCCCTTCCCTCTCCCCACTCCCTCAAAAAAAACAGAAAGATGTTGGAGTCCTAGCCTCTAGTGCCTCAGGATGTGAGCTTATTTTGGAGATAGGGTCTTTATAGAGGTGATCAAGTAAAAATGAAGTCATTAAGGTAGGCCCTACTCCGCAAGGACTGTGTTCTTATATAAAAGGGAATACTTGGACAGACACAGATATGTATAAAGGGAAAAAGATGTGAAGAGACACAGGGATAAGAGAGCCATCTGCAAGCCAAGGAGAGAGGCCTGGAATAGGTCCAGTTCTCACAGCCCTCAGAAGGAACCAACCCTGACCACACCGTAGTTTCTACCTTCTACCTCCAGAACTGTGAGATCATAAATTTCTGCTGTTTAAACAGACCAGTGTGTGGTACTTTGTTATGGCAGCCCTGACAAACTCATACAAGGCCCAATACAAATTCCAAAGGGAGAAATTGACTAATTAGATAATTGCTTTGGTACTTGGATTATGTAGCTCTCCTCTGTGGCTTCTGATAAAGAAACCCGAATTTTCACTTGCTAGAGCGTGATGTTCCTGGAATAAACTTTTTAAACTTGTTTTGTTTTATATAACCATGATGTGGTGACTGGAGACCTACATTTGACTGGAAAGAGCAAGCCAGAGCCATGTGTAAGACGCGAGATCCAAGACTCACTTGTCACCTGTAAGTAGACCTCTCTCTCCCATCAGTTGTCATTAAGGAAAAAAAAAAAAAAAAAAAAAAAAAAAACCAACACAACGGAATTGGTCTTAGAGATGCTCTCTCACTTGTTGGGAGAGGTGGGGCAGTGAGAAGAGAAAGGGTGTGGAGGGTGGGGTGTAAATAAGGCAGGCAGAAGCTCCAGAGAGGGTGGGAATAGAGCTTCACGGAAGAAAAATATATGAACCTGGTTGGTACAAGAGAGCTTCCCCAGACCCACCCACCCACCCACCCACCCTTTCCTGAGCTCTGTGCTCTGGCGCTGGTGGTTGGCGGCGAGTGGTGCGGAAGGGACAGCTCTAGCAGCGGCTGCTTTCAGGGGAGAAACAAAACCTGGAGGTCCAGGGCGGAGCCGGGTGACTGCCCCTTCAAGTGGGTGAGCTTTCCTGACCTTGGGTCAGCTCCGCGGTGGTCGCGGCCAGCATCTGTGCCGGCTCCGGGCGGGGTCGCGGAGCGCCGGCTGGACCCGCCCCGAGCTCCATGGTTTGCCCAGCCCTGCGCGATGGTGACTCTGGGCGCGGAGGCTGGCGCGTGGCGAGCCCGCAGCTCGCAGAATGAAGGCGGGGAGCGCGGCCGGCGGCCGGCGGGGGCTGGCTCCGCGACCCCAGCGCCGCGAGAAGCGGCCCAACCACCTGAGCCCGGAAAACGCCAACAAGTAGTTTTTCATTGGAGAAGGGCGGCTCGGCTGGGTGTCAGGACTCAGTCCGGCTGCCCGGAGAACCTCGTCCACTCGGAAACCAAAGCAGAAGCACTTTTCTGTCGGTCTCGTTAAGGTATCTGGGGGCGGGAGGGAAAGGGGGTGATTTGCCGGGAAGGGCATGCTGACCCTGCAGGCAGGCATTCGCCCGCCCGCCCCCCACCCCGTTCCGCAATGGGAATGTGGAGGTGAAGCCATGGGGATAGGTGGCTGGGAGACTGGAAGCGGGGACACTGTCAGCTCGGGGAACCAGGGGGTGTGCCTCCAGCGGCTCTTCCCAGGGCCTCGCCCCTACTAGAGAGCAACCCCCCCAACCCCCCTAACTCTGCATCCCCTAGGCGTTTGTTTTTCTTGGGGAGGGGGATGGGGTGGGATGCGTTGATCATTCGCATTCTAAAAAATGGAACCTAGTTAGTGGTTTCCTTTCCCAAGTAATAATAGTATTAACAACAACAACAACAACAACAACAGTAATAATGTGAAAAGGAAATTGGATCAGGAAATTAGTCACAGGTCTCCTTGGTGAAAGGCAACAGCAGGGAGATTTTTTTTTTTTTTTTTTTTTTTTGCTTTGACTTTTGCGTTCAGTCTTTTTGCCTGGTCCGGGAGGGAGAGTGGAAGTGAGAACAGGGCACGCAGAGGGCACTCCCTGAGTGCCAGGGCGCTGCGAGTCCAGAGTCCCGAGGGTATGTGTGGAATGGGGGTCTCCGCCCCGCCTGGGGGCTCTCCCCCAAAACTGCCAAGTTGCCTCAGAGGAGAACCTCCTTGCCTGAGGGAACTGCCTCCAGGCCAAGGAAGGTGGAGAGAGGGTTTAGGGTAGGGGAGGAGAGGATCCAGGGCAGGGGCAGAGTAAGGAGCAAGAGAAGAAGAGAAAGAAGAAGAGAAAGAAGGGAGAGATAAGGGGTTTGGGGAGAGGAGGAGAGTGGGGGTTCAGGCCTAGAAGCAGATTTTCTGTGAGAGGGGATGGGGGGAAGGGGGAAGGGTGAGACGATGAAGTAGGGGCGATCAGAGGTAGGGAAGAAAGGTGTGAGGCAGGAAAGAAGGTGTCCTGGAAGGTCAGGGAGGCTGGGACCACCTGCTTGGTTTCTGGAAGCCTGCGGACGGTGTGCTGCATGAGGCGGGGACAGGGCTGGGCGCGCAACTCCTCCTTGGAGGGTCAGTTGCCCCTAGCCTGTCTCCAGCCCTGCATCCTGGGACTCGGGCTCGGCGTGGGGGTGGGGGTCATGGTGCGGCTCTGACGGCGGAGATCTTTAACTTGGCGCTGTGTTCGCCTCCCCCCAGTCATGTCTGAGCCACAGAGATGGGCAAGATCGAGAACAACGAGAGGGTGATCCTCAATGTCGGGGGCACCCGGCACGAAACCTACCGCAGCACCCTCAAGACCCTGCCTGGGACGCGCCTGGCCCTTCTCGCCGCCTCCGATCCCCAGGGCGACTGCCTGACGGCGGCTGGCGACAAGCTGCAGCCGTCGCCCCCTTCGCTCTCGCCGCCGCCGCGACCGCCCCCACTGTCCCCCGGGCCGGGCGGCTGCTTTGAGGGCGGCGCGGGCAACTGCAGTCCCCGGGGCATCGGCGGCGACCACCCTGGGGGCGGCCGCGAGTTCTTCTTCGACCGGCACCCCGGCGTCTTCGCCTATGTGCTCAACTACTACCGCACGGGCAAGCTGCACTGCCCCGCCGACGTGTGCGGGCCGCTCTTCGAGGAGGAGCTGGCCTTCTGGGGCATCGACGAGACGGACGTGGAACCCTGCTGCTGGATGACCTACCGGCAACACCGTGACGCCGAGGAGGCGCTCGACATCTTCGAGACCCCCGACCTCATCGGCGGCGACCCTGGCGACGACGAGGACCTGGCGGCCAAGAGGTTGGGCATCGAGGACGCGGCGGGCCTGGGGGGCCCCGACGGCAAGTCTGGCCGCTGGAGGAGGCTGCAGCCCCGCATGTGGGCCCTCTTCGAGGACCCCTACTCGTCCAGAGCCGCCAGGGTAAGGCCAGAACCGCCCCCTTCCCTGCTGCTCCAGCTCCTCCAACTCCTTCCCCAACTTTCTTTTCCACCAACGACCTCTGGGACGAGGGGAGGGGATGGGAGGGAGAAGAGAACAGGGCTCCCTAAGGATATGATCAGAAGCTCATCTGGTGTCAGGTAAACTCAGGGGCCCTGGCGGTCATCCTCCCCTTCAGTCCCCTTCATCCTCCACGTCTCCTCCTCAACTCAGAGATTTACTTTAGCAGATAAATGGGAGCTAAAGAGCCAATGTCGACCTCTCTGTGCAAGTCTGTCTGGAACCTTGTCCTGAAACTGGTATCGTGCTTCGTCTTGATTCTTTTTTTCCTGACTCTTTGCTTCCAACTTTTCTTTTAGTGTGGATGTTACTTCAGGCCTTCTGGTCATCACGATTTGACATTTTCAGTGAGGCCGGACACTCTTTCACGTCTGACTCAAAGCAGTGGCTCCAATTAGGGGTCTAATCTGAAGACAGAGATGGGGAAATGGAATATAGTAGGTGGCTGGGTGAAGAAAGGGTATGCCAGGGTCGGGTAGGGCGATGGGGGGGGGGGTGGTTTTGTGAAGAGAATCTCCTGAATGCTATTTGGACCTGTCTCCTTCCAGAGAAGAATGCTGAGTTGCTTGTCCCAGTGAGTTGACCAGAGAGCCCACCTGCTCATTGAATTGTGGTCTGGTCCTTTTCCCCTTGGGCTTTATCTATGTTTCTTACAGGTTGAATGTCATTTTGATGATGCTAGTTTAGTCTGATTGTCTAAATCTGGGTAATTTAGATTGTTGCAAACTTTATTTTACTCTTAGATTGTGACTCCGTCCTCAATTATTCTTTTCAGTTTCTAATTTGAATGACAGTTTAAATTTAGTCCTTGACATTCCCAATTAATTCTTCAGAATCCCATGAAGGGACTGTAAAAGTTACCAATAATAGTTTCTCCAGTGTAAAGGAAATAAAAGAAATATAAATAACCCCAAATTATACAGTATATGAATGATTTTTAATTATACACGAGAATGGAGTAGTGTATTTAGTTAAATCTCTGCAACTGCGTGTATCTGGTTTGCTTCTGACGCCCAGAAAAAATATCCCCTGGGCAGCCTCACTTTGGCTCCATCCTCAATATTGTCTTCTGTATGTCAGAAGTCTCTGCATCTGAGATATTGTGCAGCTGTCATTCTAATAACTTGTCAGAAGATGTGTTTCTGATACCACTTTAGAAGTCTAAGGATATGTTTTGTTTTCAGTTTGAAATAGAATGTGAAAGAGACAATTCCAAGCATTGCTCCCCAATGGATCTGGGATTTAAATGCCTACATAAATTTTAGTATGTCCACATTATTGTATTCGAATATAGAATCAATAACTTCAACTCTGCTATCTTCCTTTTAAGATCATTCTATAAATTCAACACCAGGTGAGGTGGCAATGCCCTGCCCAAGAGGAATTAAGGTCATCATTGACAAAAACTCCTCTATTTCCTGCTACCTGTAGGGCAGTGGCTTTCAGAATTGAAGAGCCTCAGAACACCAGCCTCGGCCTGTCTCCTCTCCTCCACCGGGGTCTTGTTAAACCACTGGATCCTGGGCCTCCCCCCAGGGTTTCTGATTCCGCAGGTCTCAAGTGGAACCTGAGAATTGGCATTTCTGACAGGCTTCCAGGTGCTGGTGATGCTGCTGTTAGTCTGGGAGCCACATTTTGAGAAGTGGTTTATAGAGATTGTTGGGCTGTTTGTGTGGATTGTTGTTGTTTTAAAAATGTGTTCTAAATAAGAGCATCTAATACACAGAAAAAAAAAACAACAACAATGTGAATTGGTCACTTTGGTGATGCTAGTTTAGTCCAGTTTAAGCCAAAACAGAAACTAGTACGTATTAACTTAAGTTAAATCACAGACATGTCCATTACATCCATGTTTTTTTCAATTCCAACTGAGTGCCACAGTGCTCTATCCACTTGGTAGCTAAGAAGATAATATGAATTTGTTTTCAGACTCATCATGTGATTTTTTTTTCCAGATCGCGTGCTATACAAGAGACAGAATGTTTTATTATCCTTCCTCATGATAATATGTCTTTTATTGTAGGCTAGATTGCATAGCAAAAGCTTTAAGATGGTATTCAACTTTTATTATTGCTATGAAAATTGATTTTATTGATTATTGGTCAAAGGGTAGACTATTAACTTGAAAATAGTTTTTTAAAAAATCTTACCAGTAAAAAAATCTTACCAAGATTTCATTGTAACAATATAGGGGTTTGATATGCATCCATTTCAGGTGAGGAAAGAACACAGATATATTAGAGATTAACACAAGGTCAAAGAGCCATCAGAAGCAGAATCAGCTGAGAATTACCGACCTGGAGAATTTCCTTGAGGTCACTTCAGGAAGACCCTTTATTTTATAGATGAGGAAAATGAGGACTGCAGATGCTAAGTGACGGCCAAGGTCATACAGCAAGTTAATAGCAGATCTGAAATTATGCTGGAGGTCTCATGACATTCTCCCCAGGCCCTTTTACCACAACCACTGATTATAACTGACTGGCTTATGAAATCTCTGCAGATCATGTTGCTCTTGAGATTTAATGTAGCATAAGACACTTTCTAGAATTCTAACTTTGAAAGGTCATCTATGATTTTTTTTTTAAGATTTTATTTATTTATTTGACATACAGAGATCACAAGTAGGCAGAGAGGCAGACAGAGAGAGAGGGAGGGGGAAGCAGGCTCCCTGCTGAGCAGAGAGCCCGATGAGGGGCTCGATCCCAGAACCCTGGGATCATGACCTGAGCTGAAGGCAGAGGCTTTAACTCACTGAGCCACCCAGGCGCCCTCATCTATGATTTTTAAAAAAACATATGTATTCCAGGACTTTGGTAAAATTTTTACCCTGCACCACCCAACATTTGAGTGAAAATATGAAATTCAAATTGACTTCTTGAACCCTATTTGAACTTTGCATTTTTATTGACCAGTCAATATGTAGTGTTTTCTTTCTTTCAGAGTGGCTTACATTTGTGGGACTTGTCTTTAGGGAAGTCTCTTTTCAAATTATTAGGGATTGCCTAAAAAAGAGTAATCAGAAGTAGTCATTCTACTTAAATGTGATTTTATATTTTTATATGAACGCTTTTAGTTCGTGTGATGGCTTGACTTAATGTTATCTGACTAGTTTGATAAATAGAATTACACTGGGAAGTCATAGGATGAAATTTTATTTTGCATGGACATGATTCTAGAAGACATAAATCAATTATCAAGTTGTTTCAGCTGTGGTCTTACTGCCACAAGTCTCATTCTTTTTTTTTTTTTAACAAGACTCATTCTTAATAGAAATATTTAACTTTTATAAACCCTCTTTACTTTGTTTTACATTAGTTCATCTTTTATTGATATGCTTGAGACGAACATTTTTAACTGTCTGAATTTCTTTTTCAATTTGTTATACCTGTCACCCTAATCTTTATCTTTACCCAATATTGAGGAGATTGACTCAATTATAAGAGTAGAGTAGAATTATATACTCTATAATTAGATCTTTTTAGATAAAAGATCTAAAAGATCACTTTTATGATCTTAAGTGCCATACCGAAACAACAGTGATAGGAACTGAATAGTTACTTTAATTTTATAACATTGTATTTTTGCTTTCTGTTTGAGTTGGCATTTCCCTCTTCTGTTGCTTTAAATTTATGGTGTAAATACATTTTAAAAGTTCAGATTAACTTGGTAAGTAAGTTTATATTTATACTTAAATAAATTCTTATCCTTAAGAATAGTATCCCAAAATAGAAATTTATAAAAAAATCAAATATAAGTTGTCATGGAAACCTGTTCTGGAAAAAATGAGATCAGGAAAGAAAAGGAGAGATTATGCTGTTGATGCCATTGAGTGATATTTACAAATAGCAAAAATCAAGGATGCATAGATGTATTTGTGCAAGTGTTATGCATTGTATTTTTCCAATTTAATATCTTAGTTTAAGAGGGAAATGAAGCTTGTGTATGCTTTCTTCTGAAAACATTAGATCATAGGTAAGTAGATAGGTGCCAGGCAGAAATTCTTTTGACAGAAGTTCTAGATTATTTAGAAGTTAACAAACTAGGATAAGGGCAAAATACTAGAATCAAAATATTTTAAGTAATTTGTTCCAGTAGTAAAGAGTGGAGAGCTGTTACAAGTTTCTCCCTATCTCTCTTCTTTTCACTTATTTTTGGGGGGGAGTAGAGGTGATTGAATTAGGTTCTACTTTACAGGCTCTTTGTTGATGACTTGCGTATCTTCGGTTAGCTGATAGGACTTTTTTTTAATTTAAAGGAACATTTTCTTTTATTATTTATTTAAAAAAAGATTTTATTTATTTGAGAGAAAGGGAGAGAGTTAGTGAGAAGGTGAGAGAGAAAATCTGAGGTGGACTCCTTGCAGAGTACAGAGCCCTACACTGGGGCTCGATCCAAGGACTGCAAGGTCCTGACCTGAGCTGAAACCAAGAGTCAGATCCTCAATCAACTGAGCCACTCAGGTGCCCCAAAACAATAAAAAGAATAACTGCTGTGGAACCACATTTAAGATGTTAGGTTTTTGGTCCTTGGGTCTTGCTCATTTTATATAGGTTCTCTGGATTTATCATTATGTACAGATCATCCTGAATCATACATGTGTTGTGATAGTGAATCTGTCAATTTTTAATATTGAAAATATTCACTTTATTAACACTTTAAATTGATTTATTTCCACAGCATTATTAAAATATACTCCTCAAAACTATTAAAATTCAAATTTCAACATATAGAATTGGATTCAGAATTGCACATACATAATTTACTTTTTATGGACCATTTTTTCCCTCTTCCTCAAGCCACAAAACAAAATAGTTAAGAAATGATATAAATAACTGTTTGCTAGCTCTCAGTGTAACATTTAATTTAAAAAAATTATAATAAAGTAAGGACAATAGAGTCATAGTTTAAGATTTAAAAAA